ATGACAAATAAAGCATCACCTAGTTGCAACTAGTTGCAGCTCATAAAATTTTGGAGTTGCAATGTGTTGCAACGGGTGACAAATAAGTATCACATACTTGCTGCACCATCTTTAATGTCAGATCTTTTAAAAACTGTTTTTACTCTGGCAATAAAAATGGATTTTTACTAAAGTAAAACTGGATTTTTTGTATAAATCTGTTTTTTATCCAGTAAAAAAAATGGAAGTATGTCAGATCTTTTAAAAACTATTTTTACTCTGGTAATAAAAACAGATTTTTGCTAAAGTAAAACCAGATTTTTTGTATTGATCCATTTTTATTCAGAAAATATTCTGGATAAAAAACAAATCAATACAAAAAACTGGATTTTTGTCTGATATGTTCAAAAATTTTTTTTTACAGGGTATGTTGTCCTATAACTGCATCATGCTGCACCATATTGCATATTATTGTATTACATTATATCACTGTAATACAAAAATATATATAAATACAAGTGCTGATAATTAATAAAAATCAAGTTCTTCAGTTTTAGTTTTAAGTTCTTTTGGTTCAGTTTAAGTTTTTTGAATTTGATTTAGTTCTTAAATTTTGGTTTTTGAGTTTTTTTTGGTTTAAATATTGAGTTTAATATGTTAAATTGATTTTATTTTGGAATTATAAGTAGTTTTTGATTAAGTTTACCTTTTAGTTTAGTCTTGTTATTAGTTTAGTTTTATTTTTGTCACCTTTTATTTTATCAAGAAATATAATTTTATAAACATCACTTAATTATAAATATTCAAAGTAAATTGTCATAAACACAGTCACTATTGCCATTTTAAAATACTTTCATATGCAAAAGCTCAAAATGATAACAATATAAATAATAATTTTGACTAATAATTAATATGAAATTCTATTATATAATACTACAGTTAAATTTTTCTATAGTTATCATTCTTAAAAAAATAAACTTTGAGAGAATATGACTATAGAGAGATTTTTTTATTATATTTATATATAAATAAAAAAGCAAAACAAGATAACTATAGAGAGGTGTGACTATAAATAAATGTGACTATATTTAAAGAAATTTATAATATCTTAATGATAATTTAAGTATTAATAATACTTTATAATTATTAAATTGAATATATATTAAGTATTAAAAATACTAGTAACAAATTCATTAAAAATTGATAATAATTTATATTTTTTAATATTATAATTTGAATAACTAAAAAATTTTAAAATCAAAATATAAAAATAATAATATTTATATTATAACAAATATGACTCAATAATAGATTTATAAATTATAATAATTTTTTATTTAATTATAATTTTAATAAGCTTTATTACAAATATATATTAAAGAATCTAGAAACTAAATTATTAAACAGTATAATATTCATAATAAATATATTTGAATAACTAATACTTTATTCAAGAACTATATAATACTTATAATAAATATATTAAAGTAATTATACAAAAACAAGAATATAACTTTGTCAAAGAAATATAAAGCAAAGTTATGCTTAACTACTTACTTTACAATATATATAAATCAAATTTCTTTGAATAATTAAAAATAAAAAATAGCTAATTATAAAATAATAATTAAAAGCTATTATAATTAAGAACTTGTTTTAATCTAATTTTAATAACTATAATATATGCTGTTTTTATATATATTCAAATTATAATTTAGCTAATATACAAATTCATATTTGTTAATTATTTTTAATTATATTAATCTAATATTTACTTATTCATTTATTTGTTTGCTTGTTTATTTATTTATTTGTTTATTTACTTGCTTTTTAATAAAATATAAAATATTTATAATTCAATAATAATTAAATATAAAATATCTAGCAAAATATTTAATAAAAAATTCTTATATAATAATATTAGTATTAAGTATTTTAACTTTGATTTTTATATCTTTTATTGTCAAAAAAAATTTGAATTCAAGTTGACAAAAAGTTTCTTTTAGTATTTTCATTATAATTTGAATATTAATAAAAACTTTGATATAATAAAATATTAAGTGCTTTTTCTTCAGAATATTTTATATCAAATTTTAATATTAATAATTCTTTTTATTAATATAATTTGAACAATTTTTAATGAGTTAATTATTGTTATATGAGTATTTATTCGATTTATTTAGATTATTTATTCTTAATATTGCATAAAAAATTTGTTAATTTTTTAGTTAAATATAATTTTTTTTGATTTTAATATAATTTGATTATAAATTTTAAAAAGTAATTTATTTAATAATTCTTTAATTTCATATTTATTTTGAAAATTTTTAAGTTTATTTAACTTTCTACTTTTTTGAATTTTAAAAGTTTAATTAGTAATTAAAATATAACTTGAACTATTTTTTTATTTGGTTATATTTAATATAAATTAATAAAATTATCGAATAAAATAATTTTAATATTTTTAGTAATTAGTATTAAGTATTATAACTTTAATTTTTATATTTTTTATTATTAAAAAAATTTGAATTTAAGTTAACAAAAAGTTTCTTTTAGTATTTTCATTGTGATTTGAATTTTAAGTTAACAAAAAGTTTTTTTTAGTATTTTCATTGTGATTTGAATATTGACAAAAATTATTTGATATAATAAAATATTAATTTTTTTTCAAAATATTTCATATTAAATTTAATATTAGTTTTATTGCTCTTTTTGTTATTTGTCTTTTTGTTATTATTATTGATTATTTTAATTTTAATATTTTTTTTGAAATGATTAATTTATATTATTTATCTTTAATTATTTGATCTTTTTGTTTTAAACTAGAAATAATACAGCAAGTATACAACATTTATTTATTACAATATATTATAACTTCAAAATTGTATAAGCTATAACTAGTTACAATTAAATATTATTTTATTTGTTATTATATTATAATAATTAATATACTATATTTATTTTAGATATAAAATAAATATTTTATTTTTTCACTTTAATTATAATATATTGCATTATTTTTAATTACAAGTATATTAATTTTGATCTTTTATTATCCAATATAATTGACAAGTTTATTATTTTATCAAGTGATTTTTTTTATTCTATTTATTTTAACTAAGTTAATATTATTAAATTATTAAATTTTTATTTGATTTTTTTCAAAAAATCATTCATTATAATATTACTTATAATTTTATTAATAATAATAATAATTGGTTTTTGGTTTTTGATTTTTCTAATACAATATATTAGATTAATAAATTTTTGTTTTAATTTTTCATTTTCTTCTTATTATTAATTAATATTTGTTGATTAAGAATTTTGGTGAAATAGTACATGTTTAAATATAAATAAATATTAAATAAAATAAAATAAAATATAAAATATAAAATACATAAAATAAATATATTAAATAAAATATGATATAATATCAAACAAAATATAAGATATTATGTAAATAAACTTTCATTAAGTAAATTAATCAAATATATTATTTAGAGATAATTTCTTTCTGATTAAATAATATATATAAAATCTATAATAATTTATTTTATAAACAAACATTTTCCAAGTATATAAATTGGAAATTTGAAATTTATCAATACATTACTTAATATGTTTGCTTGACAAAATTAATATTAATGTACAAATATTAATAATGTTGCTGTTATTGTAATTAATAAAGCAACAATTTTTTATTCATGTCAAAGATTGTGATGTGCAATATCTTTTTGAGCTTTTTTGTTGTAATGTGACAAAGAGAAAATACAACATTAGCAGTATTAAAAATTATAAAAAATTTTGTTGATTAAAACACCTTTATATTTAAGAAAAAGAAAGATAAAGGGGAAAATTATTATCATTAATATTATATCTATCATTATAATTATTAAAGAGAAATTTTTACACGTAAAATTTTTGTAGCAAAAAAGAAAATTAAAATCTATAGTTACTTTTTGATATCCCCCTTATTTTGGACAAAAGATTCAATTCTATATTTTATTGGTTTTTTTCGATAATCTATTTTTATCTTTCAGGGCTTAGGAACATCGTCTTCCGTTTCTTCAGGATTATCGTCATGCGAAGCTTGGGTAAAGCCCGAATTTGGATTTGTTAAGCCAGATGGTGTGAAGATTGGCGAGTTTACTGATAAGGTGGTGTTGGAGATCTCATTGTTGTTCTCGTCTGCTACATTCCTATTAGTCCCATGATGTTGCTGATTGTCAGCAGTCGAAGCAGACATAACAGCAGCTCCACGCTTATTCGCGAAATTTTCCATGAAATCCCATAATCGGACACTGTCCAATACACGAACTTCCTCTCCATTCTGAATCTTGCGAATATTCACATCTTCTTTGGTGCCATCACGATAGACGTGTGCGTAAAAGCAAGAGGTACCGAATTGGCATTGACCGTCGCCGTAATTAAAATGCTTGCATGGAATTTCGCTGTATTCGTATTTTATATAAAGTCATTAATCGATAAATTAGTTTTCTTTTAAATTCTTGGGAAAAATTATAAACTAACAGACATCATTACTGTTGAGGTTAATACTACTGACCCACACTTTCGCTTATACAAGTTAATCACTCTTTGCTTTTCTTGGCGATCCGTAATCCAAGTTGTACTTGGTGTGATAAAATGACTAGGGGTTCGACAAATAGGGCATCCACGAACCACTTGATTGTCCATGGTGATGTTAGATCGCCATTGTCGAATACATTGAAGGCAAAACGCGTGTTCACAATCTTTTTTCATCAATATCGAAAAAGATAATGAATTATTAATGCAACTCGGGAAACAAGATATAGTCGATCAAGAAAAAAAGAGCTTACTCAAAAGACCAAATCGTGCATCTTCCTTGGACAACACTTTTTCAAAACAGATACCACATTCCAATTCTTCCGGTTTCACACCAACAACAACTTTAATTTGTCTATTTATACAATCATCGATATGCTCTGTGATTAACGAGATAAATTAGAATCGAATTCAAAAAGTAAAAAACCAATTACTGAATCAAACCATGAGGAATTAAGAATGCAAACCTTGATTTTCTTGCGCAGATTTATATGGATGTAAGACAAATTTCAAGCAAGAAGGACAAAGCGTTCCATGCAAATAATGACAACGGTCGCCATATCGACAATTTCCAGCAATACCAAACGGGCATAGCTAGAAAATTGATCCGGAAAGCAAAAATGAAGAAAAAGAAATCCCAAATCAAATCAAGCCATTCCCAAATATTATACGAAAAAACGACGATAATATTTATAAAATAATATTTTATTTCAAGTTTTTTAAATATCCAAAATTTTTGTTATTTTATTTATGTGTGTTTTGCTTGCATTTTTTTAATATACCTCGAAAAAAATGACGACGATATATATAATAAAATTTATGTATAAATATATATTACAGAAAAAATTTTCGCCCAACATGTACATTAACTATTAATATAGTGAAAGTGGAAGGGTGGAGGAGGAGGAGAAGTGTGGTGGTGGTGATAAAGGAAATATAAATATAGTAATAAATAAGACTAACATACCGGCTCAGAATGTCTAGAGTCAATACTAATTCCAGGAGTAATACCAGAATCTTTTAAGCCGGCTTTAGTAATAGCAGAATAAGAAAGTGGCGCTTTAATTTGTTCAGTTGTCTTTGAAGCAGCAGCAGCAGCAGCAGTAGTGGAAGTGGTCGTTTCTGAAGACATTAGCTCAGTTTTTTCATTGTCCATATTGAAAAATTCGTCGTCTTCAAAAGGACTGAAACAAGGCGATAACTGTATCCCATTATTGGAATTACTCCGCTTATAATCAATATTGGCCATCATTGCATTATCAATGGTTTTGATGTCATGTGAGGGAGGAATGTTTATGGCAGGCGTTGCGTGTGGTGGTTCAAATGTGAAATTAGAGAAGGAGGCTGACTGCGGATAAGGGGGATGTATTGGTTGTGGGTGTTGATGATGAAGATGCGGATTAATATGATTATTGCCATTAGTAATGTTAATACTAATATTATTAGAAGTAGATCGCTGATGTTGCTGATTAAGATGCTTGCTCCAATGATCGGGATTTCCTCTGATATTATTATTATTATTATTTTGATTATTGTTGGTATTAATCGCGTAATTGGGGAATCCAGGACTGAGATGTTGAATATCGTTATGATTTTGATGAGGATTTTGAGGATGATGATTTTGATGATGATGATTCAAATAATTAGAACCCATAGCATAAGGCAATGATCTCGCTGCAAATGGATGCATATGAGACGGATCAATATTATTAATATTAGTATTATTATTATTAATATTATTAATATTATTAATATTGTTAATATTATTATTGTTACTATTTATATATTGATCCGAACCATTCAGAGGTAATTGAAACAATGTAGAAGCTCCATTTAACCAGCGTCGTGGATTATCAAACACATCGTCTTGACGACTGCGACGTCTTTCTCGGTCAGTAAGCAAATCATTCAACGAGGAAGGAAGAAAATCTTCATCATATTCAAAGATCTCAACTTCATCCATTATGTCATCATTATTTCGTAAATCTTGTATCTCTGGAATACTTTGAAGTTGAGGTGCATTACTAGTCGGCGATAACATCCCACTGTCACTTCCATAAGATGTGCCACCAGGTAAAAACGAGGACTTGGAGCTATTTGGATGGAATGGCGAAGTTCCAAAATGATCTGATCCTTGATAAAAAATATTCGGCAAAGATCTTCGAGGGTTATGAATCTGAATTGGAGCAGACAAATGATCGCCTCCAAATGAAGGTGAAAAACCACTAATCCTCAAATCTTGCGTGGTCTCATCAGGAGAGAACGGCTGATCATTCAGAGAAGCGGTAAGATGACTGTATTGTCGATTACTCATGAAATCAGTGTTTGGACTAATTGGTATACGAGAGAATGCAGCACCACCACTACCCACTGGGGAGCTCATTGGAGGAAAATCATTTTGATCATGCACACTGGCAAATAATTGAGGATGCATCATAGGAGATCTAATTTCTGGAATGCTTCCACTGATAACTCTTTGACCATTAAGACCATTTTTATTATTGTTGCCACTATTAGTAATAGATCGACCGTTGCTGAGTTTACGATCACTTGGTGTGTGAGATAGAGCGCATTTATTTCCAAATTTGCAATTTCCTTTAAGAAAGTATTTACAAACATAATTGTCCGCTGATGAATTTTTGTCATGTGAAAAGACACAATTTTTTCCAGCTGTGCAGGCACCACTTTTGAAGAATTTGCATGGAATATGCGCTAAATTACTATTACCTATTATCGGTGAAAATTAGCAAAATAAATACCATTAAATTAATATCAAATATTTAAATAATCAATTGATTTCTCCAAGAGTAGAATTTCAATAAAATCCGCTTACTTTTTGAACCACTCGATTTTCCGTCTGTAGTGATATTTCCATTTTGATTATTGTTATTATTATTTTTTCCTCTTCTTGGAGGTTGAGTAGGTAAACCACCAAATCCAGGTGTAGAGATGTCGGTAGGAGTGACAGGAGCTGAAATTGCCTGTGGGATTTGATTTTTCATAGAATCGTGTGACATTGGAAATATTGAAAAAGAGTCGGTTGGTATGGAAGGTGATGTGACAATTGATGGTATATTTAAAAAGGAATTGTCTGCTGGTCGAGTATAAAGTTGTCCGAGAACTGACGGAGTATTTGGGAACGATGCAGCTTGCTTTTGAGAGTTTGCTGGCAAACTCTTTTTCATCTCTGTAAAATTGAAAGGAGTCATGTTAGGTCTGGGCGAGTTGTTGTAATTATTATTGTAATTACTGTTGTAATTAATATTAATACTATTGTAATTATTATTCTTTTGTTGCTGCTGCTGTTGTTGTTGCTGTTGCTGTTGTTGCTGTTGTTGCTGTTGTTGTTGTTGCTGTGGTAGCAGCTGTCCTTGAGGTACTGCGGCCATCAGCTTTTTTTTTCGAGCAGTCTTTTTTTCAGTTTCTTTTTTCTCGTCGAAGACAACTATGACGAAGACTGTGAGAATACTATGGTAAAAATTTTTATATTGATGTTAAATAATAAGGAATTAAGGTATGTTGTTTGCTATTTCTAACTGACAACATATATACACGCAGAAGGTTTCGGGTTACTTTTTTAGCGGTATTGAAGGTTCGTTATAAAGGAAAAAAAAGATGGGTTAATAGTGATGATTTATTTTATATAGATTTATATATATTTGTATATTTGTATGTTTGTATATAAATATGTAAATTTTTAATAGGTTAAATAAATAAATAATAGATAAATTAATTAATGAGAGGAAAGTAAATGAAAAAAAAAATAAAATGAAAGACAAAGTGAAAAAGAGAGGAGATTTTATTATTTATTATTAGTATTTAATATTTGCCACTAATAATGATGTTTGTTGGTAATGGTGACAAGTATTGGGGAGTGTACAGGGTTTTGTATGACAATGAAAGAGCGAAAAGCAACCGATTTATCCTATATATCATCTACTTTATCAATGTATATATATATCAATATGTATACATAATCATAATCATCATCATCATAGTACCTGATTGTTTGGCAGACACATACAAGAACATTCACGAACACAACGTTTATTTATTATTGCAACACATACACACACAACATTTTGTTATTGTGATTGGTAGAAGGAAATCGGCCATCAGGTTAAACACGAAAGAGTGTATGTTTTAATTTCTACTTGTTTGCCGCAGTCTTGGATGATCCGTAGTCGCCTAAATGAGATGGATGCGGTGCAAAAAAATGGATGTTGATTGAACTGATAAATTAAATAAGCTATTACAAGTAAGCACGTGGTTTTAATTATTCAAACTTTTTGATAACAGTGAATTGACCAAGAGGGAATACAACTTCCTCCTCCTCCTTATTCCAAATTTTAAAATTAGCATGTAATGTATTATTGTGTGCGCTCAATTTATATGTGCATCATACACCCAAATATGATGTAAATGACGACACACAACGACGCGTGGTTTTCAACTTTAATTATTTAAGCAGGAAGAGAATGAGGGGATGCTGAGAAGAATGAAATTGAAGGTGATTATATATACACGATACTTTGGATTATTCTAAAATCAGTCCTCTCAATGGTTAATGTGGTAATTTTACAATGAGATACAAAAAGAAGGGGAAAAAAAAAGTTTAACTACAGTTGAATTGAGATATTTATTATTTTTTAAAACGCATAGAGCATCAAAGATTTTCCATTTTTACTTTCTATGTAGTATGTGACACGCTGCTGTTGCTAATCACTAACTTATTTTTCTATATAGTGACGAACTTACAGTCATACGCATACATTGAATACAACCCAATAAGTTTATTAATATATCCCGCCACCACCATAGAAATAATAATAATAATAATGCATACCGCTTAAAATAGCTTTTTTTTGGAACTCATGCATCATCTTTCATTCCAATTCCCTTTTCGGATATATTGATTTTTCTGTTACCCAGAGATTCTAACCTGTACAAAGATACATACCAATATCATTGGTATCAAGCCGCTTGTCTGATTTACCACTGCCGCTAGATCTTCGCCTAATAAATTCTTGTAACAATGGATTCTTGATTATTATTTCCATTCTGATTTAACAAGAAAGGGAGCGAAAAACAACAGCAACAACAAAAGACACTATTATTTGTTAAGGTTTTTGCTATTGTCGCGCACGGGTACATTTATGTAACTCTCATTTACCTCGCGCGTATGATGAAATGCCAACAAATGGCATCGGTATCAATTATAAAGCGTGCGTAAATCAAGTGCTGAACTGGAAAAAGAGAATAGCAATGATGTATTTATTCGGATGATGCCGCGTTGTTACAATTGCCAATTTGTCCAATTTCCTAATTTATCTTTAATAACTCTACTGCATTATTTTGGATCTCCGGATCGAAATGTTGGAATAGCTCCTTTTTTCTAAGCAGCCAAAGTTTTTATCATATAAATTTATGCTAAATAACAAAACTTTATCCAATTATATATTGTAAATTACCGAGACATACTATAATTATACTTTAAATTATCCGATTATATTATACTTGTACTTTAAATTCAATTTTACTAATACTTTAAAGTTTATAATTATATGAAAGCTTAAATGTTGTCTTTATAATAACATTAATAAGTTTAAATTTTTTTGGAAAATAAAAAAAATTGTCAAACTGAAATATTAAAGTTTATTTTTTATCGTTATTAATTTATTATTTAGAATTATTACTATATAATATACAGTGAAATGCAACAGCATCCAGATTTTTTTAAATAAAAATAATTTAGATTTAATCTGAAAAAGTTTTTTTAATTGCAAAGTAAGCTGATTATTTTTTTAAAACATGTAAAAATTAATTATATCACTTTCAAAATTTATTATTAAAACATAATAAAATTAAAAATTTTCTTTTTATCAAAACATTATAAATTTTATTAATAATATTTTTTTATTTTTCTATCAAAATAAAGATTATAATTTATATTTTAATACAATATGAATTTCTTGAAAATTATTAATAATTTATATTTTAACAAAAATAATATTATTAATAATTTGATATATAATAACTAACAAAATTGTGGAATTATATGTGTAATTTTATTAGTAAAATTGAAATTATTAACTTATATAAAAGTTTTTAATTAAAAAATTTTTGCAATAATTTTGCAATTATAATACTTTTATTAATTTAAATTTAAAAAATCCAGAAAAAATATATGTTAAGATATAACTTATAATCTTTATTTTAATATAAAAATAAAAAATATTTCTTAATAAAATTAAAAACTTTATAAGACAAAAATTTCAACTTTCACTATATTTTATTAATAAACTTGTATATGCAATTTATAATTATATTAATTACTATATATGCTAAAATATAAATTATAATCTAATATAAAAATAAAAAATATTTATTAATAAATTGAAAACATTTATAAGACAAAAATTTCAATTTTTACTAATAAATTTGCACACGCAATATATATATATTTCCAACAATAAAATAAAAAAATTAATAAAAAAAATTATATACAAATAAATTAATTTACTTTTTAGAAATTTAAAATAAATTATATATTTTAGCTTTCAAAGTTTATAATACTTTGTGATGTTTACAAGATTTTGAATTTTGATAACAGCAAAACAATTTTAATTAGAGTTTTAGAGTTTAAATTTCCTTAGCTGGTTGAAAATGTCATTTATATTAAACATTTGCCGCTGCGAAATTTATATGCGTCACAAACAAGATATACAGATAATTGATAAATATTCACCAATCAGAAGGTTACAAAAATTTAGATCAAGCTCTAATAGCCGCTTTCTTCGCGTTGTTTTTGCATTTAGATAATTATAAAGATAGCACAAATCTTCGTGATAGCATTTACAATCAAAAAATCATGAACGTAACTACTCGGTTATTCTACGAATATCATCTTCGGCCACTTCGATTTCTTTGATTATTTCAGCATACTCTTGTACCACTTTTTCAAATTCTCCTCCAATGATCTGGTAATCTGTGAGTTTCGTGTTTAATTCCCGCAATAGTTTACTTTTCTCATTTTCCTCGACACGTAAATGATCACTATTCAATTTATTAATTTCTTAATTAGAAGGATCAAAAGTCATATAAATGAGAGATAGGTTAAAGATTGTACCGAATGGATGCAAGAGCTTCATTTGTGTCTGGGTCATAGATGGTAATCAAAGCGTTTATCCTAAGAACTCTATTAATTAATGAAAAGCGAATTAGACCGCGCGAATATTATACGTTTACATCGTAACTATTGTCTTTATTTTTCTTACCTTAATTTCAAAAGAATATTCCTTACAATACTTGAAAAATAATCACCGAAAGTAGTATTTTTCTCAAATTCATGGCGATACTTGAATTCTTCAAGCATGCTCCAGAGATCGGCCAAAATCTCATTAATTACCTATTGAAAAAATCTTTACCAACTAATAAATCTAACAGATATATACACTAATATCTATCTTAGGACATTTAGTATCCTAATAAAATTGTTTTTTTACCTTCAGATAATCTGCAAGAAGTTCGGCTAGACGATTTTTATCATTTAACGCGTCTAAATTCGCAAGGCGTAGATGTTCGATCCGAGAGCTCACAATTTTATTTAGTTGTGTCGCTTTTGCGAATAAGAGCTTTTTATTCGGTTCTTTCGAATTTTATTAAAAAAACGAAAGTCGTAATGTGAATTAGGGAATAGGTATCAAACATTTATGCCGTACCTTCTTTATAGTAAAATTTAGCTATTTCCTCGCATTTCTTGATTAATTGATTTTCAACCGTAGATAATATTTCTTCTTTAGATATCTATGTAAGAATCTTTTGTCAAATTAAGGAACAAGCAAAAATACACGTACGCAAATATTTCAATTATATTATATGCTTACGCTGAGATCACGCAAATAACCTTCAATTTGTATATATAAATCTTCCTCTTGCAACCCCAATAAAGTCATATCGAAATTTTGAAACGTAGAGTTCAAAGTCCAATGTTGTTTAATTTCAGAATATGAAAGAACCTGATCTATAGCTAATAATGTCTTGATAAATAAACAAACATTATTATTGTTTCTAATATCTAACTAAAAAAAAACTCAATATATTTTACCCGCTTGTTATGAGCGATTAGTCCTGTACGTTCTGCTTTCTCTTCTCCTTGCATTGCCAAAAGCTGTAGCTCATTGTATAAAGCTAGATTCTCCAAATACTCGATTTTATCTTTAAAATAAACCTCCTAATAAAATTATCAGGTATATGTATTAGAAAAAGAAGAGATTTAAGTGGATTTTTAGGAATATTTGCACGCCTTTTTGGCTTCTTCAGCTAACGACTTTGTCGTTCCGTCAGATGCAATATGCTGCGTCGTTAATTGATGGTAGAAATCGGCAAAATGAGGATTAGAAGAAAGTAAAGTTTGAGGTATTAGAGCATACATTTTGTGCGCGTTAAAAAGACGTGTATATCAATCTAAAGTATTCACAGTTAGTAAGTAATTTGATTGGTCAATCCAATCTAATTAATTTGGATAAGTAATTTGATTGGCCAATCCAATCTGATTGGTCAATTTTGTTCAAAAAACAATAGTGTATTTGTAAGATCGGCTAAATTAAAAATTTGGTCTCCATGGAAACTGAATTTCAACAATTGCGTGAACATTTTCAACTTCTTCGAAAGGAATTTTCCTCAAGTAGTCAAGAAGAAGTGCTTAATAGCATTAAGGAGCCCTTATTGCTTCTAGAAGAGGGAAAAAACAGTCGTGAAGGCTGGCGAGGACCTCCTATTAGTCCGAAATTACAACAATATTTCATCGATAAATTATATTTCAAGCATTTGGAGTTTTTATTGCAACAAGTTCCTACACACTGGTCCGAAAAAAGTCAAGGTCTAGAAACACAAAAGAGAAAGCTAATTACAGAGTACTTTGTCCCTTCGGGAACAAAAGACCTGCAAAAAAAGTTACGAGCATGGCTCGCATTGCAAGTGTTGGTCTCGCATTTATCAATTAGGGCAATTTCCAAACAAGAAAAAAATAATGATTATATACCTAGACTTAATATCACCTTAATATTTTTGTTGCTTTTACTAAAAGATTATTCGATCAAAGACTTTTATGAGGCAATTTTCTCAAATCTAAAGAGTAACTATAGAATAGAAGAAAAACAAGAAGAATGGAGAGAATTCGCTGCGCTCTGTTGCTCTATACCACAGCGTTGGGCGAATTTAAGAGTACTTGAGCAGGATTCAAAGAATAAGGTCAAAAATTTAGACGAAGAAACAATGAAAGATGTGTATCCATGTAATCACAAAAACCAACAAATCTTTTTACATTACTAACAAGGATCATTGAATATAATTTTGAATTCCTTAACTATGGTGAATTTATTGTGGATAAAAGAAATTACTTTACAAGATTAGGATCTGAAATTGAACTTGCCATATGGTATAAATCCAATGCTGGTGAATTAGAAGGCATGTTTATTAGAAAAAATTGAATTGAATTTATTATGGAGGATTTATTTAAAAAATAATATTTTTCAGAAGAGGAGATGGAAATACTTTCGTTTGCGTTAGGGGAGGTTATCACGAAAATATGTAAGATTGGTCATTCGAGTGAGTATGCAGGATCTTTTCAGACTTCTAATTCACATTACACACGATTTCAGCATAACATTTACCATTTATGTTTCAAAGAAATCCTGATGCAATCAATATACTTTACATTCTACAATCGCCTATACAATCACATATCCCCGTCATATTGGCAGATTTGGTCCAGAATGCTGCAAAATCTTCCACCTGATACATTAGAATCTTTTATTTCGGCCGTCATGACACATTCCGAACTCTCCTTATTGAAATCGATTCCGTCCATGCCCATCGATGATAATTCACGTTATCGTATACAGAAAGTAGCTTGGCTACTAAAAATGCTAATGGGAGAGAATATTAACGATAGTATCAAGTATATGATAAAGTCCAAGTATTTTATTGGCGGCAAGATATTTTCTGTTGGTGTTCTTCGAGTTCTCTGTTGTTTTTGGAGCTGGGGGAAACCAACTGAGAAAGGTTATTCAGCAGAGTTAGATGTAAAAGATGGTCGGTATTGTATTTATATGGCGGTTTCAACATCATGAACTCAATTTCCAATTGATGGTTACCAGATCTTGCTCAGCTATTATTGTCACTTATTTCTATTTGGTCGGATCCAACCTTCATAAAGCATGCGTCAAATGGAGCTCAAATATGTAATAAGAGTTTTTTTAATTCTCTTGATAATTCTTTGATTTGCAATAATCTAATACCTTGACGCAGCTAATAAAAAATATAGACCTTACTAGTGCCATTATCATCATCTTTGGTTATTTTCAAAAGGAGACTCTCATTAAAGCAGCGATTCCAGGCGAAGTTGTTCCAGGTGTAGGCAGATGGCTGAAAAGTCCTTTTTTTCAGGCGCGAAAAATTGGAATGGTTTGTCTTTGTTTTAGTACATATATTTTTCGTATTATCTTGAACCACTTGTTCTACTCGGCATAAATTGTATCTTTGTAGATTACCGCGGAAATTATATCTCAATTGACTGATGAACCAGATAAATCTTTGAAGTTTGAAATGGAGGAGGATGACACAAGTATATATTTGCGAAACTTGGTAAATTGCAAAGATGGAACAGTAAAATTTATGGCACATGATGTCAATGAAGAGATTTCGCATGGTATTTTCTTTTTTCTTTTCTTTAATTCTTTCATGTAAAATTTGTGCTTATCATTGTTTTGGAAAATAGTTGACGAGACAATTAGAAAAAATGAAGAAAACGAATCTAAAATTGAAAGTAACAAGCTTGGTGACGAGACTATTGATCAAATGCATAGTATAAATAGTAAGAAAAACCTATCATATGTGCTTTTTGCCGGTGTTTCTGGTCTCATTTCTTTAAATGTTTAGAGGATCACATCGCAAAAGAGATTGCTGATTCCGATGATGAAGAAGGTGAATTCGAGCCTTATCCTATGGAAGAAGAAAGTGACAAAGATGAAAACTCGAGCAGGAAAAAAATCAAGCCTCCAGTGTGTGTATATTTCTCGATTTCAATTTACATTTGGAACATTCCTTCAATTAATTAATGCATATTTTTATTCAATAGGTATATTAAAGAATTAATTTCTTATCTCAAAACCGCAGATGATCCTGAAAAAATTGATATTGCGCTCCAAGTCGCGCCCAAACTCATCCGTCAAAAAATTGGTTACGGAACTGAACTTGGTGACTTTTGTTTTTACTTTTGGCTTTTATTTATTCCTTGCAGCAAATTTTCTTATTTGAATTTATATTTTTAGATGAGCATGCTGTGGAGCTGACGTCAAAGGTTGTTTATTTGCAAAATACATATGAATTGGAAAGATTCGATGAAAATCAAAATGCTGCATTAGTGGCACTTGTATACGGAAGCCCCAAACTTGCTGTTTCGTAAGTTTAAATTTTAATTGTTTTATTGACAGAATTCAATCAATTTTACTTATTTAATTCTGACAGGGTGTTGATTGAACAGTTTTTTCGAAAATCGATCTCACTCTCTCAAAGATTTCTCATATTAGCTTCGATTGCAAAGGGAGCCAAGGAGCTGGCTGGTATTAAAGATGAACAAGTTTAGTAGATTATGATCCCAAACATTTTACTTAAGCTGATATTTTCTAATACAATTATTATTTATTGTAGGAAATTTCCGCAGAGAATAAAGCTGTAATAACTCTTGATTCAGTTACAATGAACAATATGAAAATTTCCCCTATAAATGATTCCAAGGTTACAAAAGAGAAAAGATTTTCCAAGAAGATGATAGTGGAGATGACACGGGATAATAGCATAAAAATAAATAGATTTAATGAATTTGCTGCCGATACGTTTTTCATACCTTTGATTGCTGGTTGGTGGAATTGGACTCGTGATGGGTAAGTAAACGTGTTACAGAAACAATTTCAACTCTTTTACTGCAGAAAGTTTGAGACTTATGTATAGTTTGATTTCAGTGACCATGGCAATATAATGTATCAAACGATGCTTGTCCAACGATTCATTACTACATTGGGTGTCATTGTGCAATGTTCGAGTAAGTTGCTTGTATATTTATTTTTTCTTTAAATTTTATTTTTAAACACATGTTAATAGATCCTCATTTTGTCATTACAGTAAACACGTTTGCACAAAAACAAATAGTACATGAATTCTGGGACTTAATTTTATCGATGCGCTTTCTCGATGATCCGGGAATCATTTTCTCATTACTTTATGGTATTAATGTCATCGTGAATGCAATTCACGGACGTGAATTAGTAGAGTTATTCTCGAAAGAACTGGTCGAGACTGAAGAATGGGTTTCTGGTATGTTTATGAGAATTTGGGTTTTTTTTATCGTATAAGAAAGAATAAATGAATTCATTTACCCTTTTTTCCCAATTAACAAATTCTTATAGGTGTAATGAACAATCGTATTACCGATAATAAAATCATGGATTTGGCAGCACAAACTTTGTACCGAGTAAAGAACATTGTTGCCGAGTATCAAAGAATGTTATTAGGAAATTTACTTCCTATTGTATGATTTAATTTAATCTTTAATGTAAAATGAATTTGCAATATTTATATTTGTTTGTGTTTAGTACAAAATTTATTCCAAAATTATGAAAATGGATGAAGACAATAGTTGAATTCAATAAAGTGTATGGGAAATGCGTGTCATGGTGATATTTTTAATTGTCAGATATAAGATAAACAAATAAATAGGGAGTAAAATATAGGTTTTTTCTTAAAATATAGAGAATGGTTAATATCAAATGCTCGATAAATCATAGTTTGTGTCATGTTCACGATGATGAAGCTGATGCTTTAAATAGTTCTTTTAATGCGTCCTCATCCTTCTTTTTCCGCAAACGTTCAACCTCTTGAGCACCACCAGTCTTCTTCAATTTATTCTCCGTAACAAACTGCGACAGTTCCTGTTCAAATTCATCGATCCGATTGGCGAGTTCTCGTTCACGGAGTTTTTCTGCTTGTGCCATGGCACGCAAGCGACGTTCCGAATCGGGAGCAATGCCTCGAACTTCTTGTAGGACCGTTTTCAGACCCTCGAAACTTTCGTCTTGTGGTACTGGACGAAATTCTTTTGGTCGTGATTTTGATTTGATTTCCACTACTTTGAGAATACTGTCGAAAACCTCTGTTAATTTATGATGGTCATCCTGCATATCTTCTAGTAACTCTTCTTGGTGGGTTAAGAATTTTTGCTCTTCGACTATTGTTTGTAATTCTTCTTCCCAAGTCTTTTTCCATTGGGGCTTGACCGTTTTTACAAATGATGATAAAGATGCGAGTTCTTTTTCTACTTCTGCGGATTCTTTTCTGACGTGATTAACGGAGGACTGGCTGGGTTTGCATTTTCGTATCGTAACATCAGCTTTGAGTTCGTCAATTATGTCTTGAAGTTCATCGACACGAGCTAACAATTGGCTTGAACTAGTATCAAGCTTTGTTTTTCCCGCACTTATGAAACTACGCGCAGATCCTACACTCGTCATTGCGACTTGTTTCACAGCCGATGTTTTCTCTGTAAGTGATTGTACTAGTTGCTGAGTTTCATCTTGGAATTCCGTGTATAGTTGTCTCATTACACCTAAATCTCGTCGTAAATTTTGCACCTCATCATGTTGATTTTTAATATCACTGACAAACTTTTCTGTGATCAGAGAGGATTTATAGCTTGCCCCGGATTTAGCAGAATTCTCTTCCGCCTCCTTTTGCTTCACATTAGCGAGTACTTTTTTCGCTAATTCTCTTAATTGCGTATGAGATGGTGCTTGTCTTGCCGATGCATTTGCATTGACTGCGCTACGGCGGAGAAGGTCATTGTTTTCGGAAAATGATTTCTTAATGTCCCGAATTTCTTTGGCTAACGTGGCGATACTTTGATCAAAATGCTTTTTAACTTGTTCCAGAGCTAAATCGAACGTATAATGAGTGAATAATCGTGATTAACGAAATAGTAATTCAATTTAATTCCAATTTTTCATACCTTCAACATTCAACGCTAAAACAGAATTATTTTTTACTTCATCAAGGTTTTCTAATTCATATAATACCCCGCTTGTGGTGTCTTTGATATAAATATTCGGGAAATCATCCATTCCCGGGTTATATGAAAATTTTTCGATAAAAAGCATTCGCAAAGCAGGAATGCTAATATCTCCATCGTATGTTGTTTTTTTAATATCTTTCCCGAGTTGTAAAAAGAGTGTTAGTCCCTTTGGCGTAGACGTGTCTAATAATTACCAAAACGCAAGACATATTAATAATTTAGAATTTATGAATGATGAAACGAATGACTACTATTTACCTTGAATATTAACTATTGGGATATTTTGGCTCACATTTGTATGCACTTCATGTTGTTCAGCTTCATATTTCGTGTCGATGGAACTGCGTGGAGTTGATTGTTCAATAGATTCTCCAGTTGCATCGGAATCTGCTGGATCTTCAGCCAATGTTACTTCATCTTCCTCCTTCGTATGATCAAGAGACGGTGAATGCTGATGCGGTGGTGCTATGGACGGGTGTAGAGTACCATCCTGACTATCAGCATTTAGATTTGAACGTGAAGTAGACTTATGTGCGAAAGCAGAATAACGTTTTGAAGCTCGACGTTCCAATACGTTGCTTTGTTTCAAAGCATCCAACGGATCGGCTAACCGAGATGTATTACTGGTTTTTTGCAGTGTAGCTGCTGGTGGCGCACTTACATTACGTCGAAGAGACGAATCATTTGACGACAAATCTGAAGCTTGGGATTTACCCTGTACAGGTGGCCCTGCCGAAAGTTGTCTATGCAGCTGAGGAGGAGAACTAAGAGGTGTAGTCGTATCATCACTGCCAAACCTTTGTCGATAAATAGCTTGCTTTTCTTTCAACCCTTGAAGCAAAATTACTATTACATCTCTGATTTTAGGAAGATGAAATTCCAAGGAAGCCTGTGATGGTTCTTCCTTGAGAGCCGTTTCTAAGCAGAAACGTAAGTTGTTGGGTATATGTTGTAAATCGCTAAGACGTAAAATCAATTCATTCATGATTAGATTAATACATCGAAACTCGGGATCAACTTGTCCTTGTATGGTATATACCTGACAGATATTCCCTGCTTCGAAAAAGATTGGCATGCCTTTTTAAAATCGCTCGATAATTGTAAAAATACTTCGAAAACTTGTTGCTGCGTCAAACGGCCTTGTGACCAAGCGGTTAAACTTTCCAGCAATGATTTGGTAGCAACTAACAACGTAGTGACAGTCTTTTCTATCGAGCTCATCTTTGATATAAGAGATCCATGAGTATCAAATACAAATGTCAAATCGAGGAAATAACCAGCAGCCTTCTTATTCGAGAAATGTATAAGAGAAAAAGACACTTACGGGAGTAGAATTACCAGAATTTCTTCTCTGTTCCGATTGACTATCACGGTCTCTTCCCGTAGAAGGTGAGGAGGAAGGTCGTCTAGACCCTTGAGAATTTCTGGGTGAAGATTGAGGTGACTGCCCAGCAGTTTGATAACCCTGTGGAACTGGCATTTGTAACGCGGAGTAGTCCATTTTCAAAAGTAGTGTAAGAGCGCGAAATAAAAAAAAAATAGTAATTCGAGCCCTCTTGAAATGGTAAGCGATAGATTGAAAATTCTCTGTCAGCGCGATTAATAATATAATAATGTCACGTCGTGTAACAAACAGCATCAATAATGCGGAAATTTTTCCGGTCCAAGCAGTTTTTATTATTTGAAAAAAAAATTTATCTATTGTATTCCATTTTTACAATGTCTTCCAATAAGAGCGGACAAAGTAAAACCAAGAAAAACCAAACTCAAAAATATAAAAATTACAACGACCCCGATTTCATAGAACGAAATTTGGATACCACTAACAAACAAAAAAGAAAGCGACAAGACCGAGAGAAAAACGTGGAACATGGTTCAGATAAATTCAAGAAAAACAAAATTACACACTTTGACTTGATAAGTGAAGATTCTGACATGGAAGAGTCCGTCTCAAAAGTAGCAGTCAAGAAGGTTCAAAAATCAGGGGGTAGCCAAGCGAACATCAAAAGCTCGAAGAAAAAGATCTCGCCTAAAGTCTTCGATATTATCTCCACTGACGAAGAATTTGATTCTCTGGAAAGTACGGAACTTTTGCTAGACACGAAAAAGGAAAAGTTAGAAAAGAGTGTAAAGAAAAGTAAAAAGGATAGCAATTCAAAGAAAAAGGCTTCGGCTAAAATCTTTGATTATATTTCGAGTGATGATGAATTTCCCGAAATAGCAGATCTTTCTTTCGATTCAAAAAAGAGAAAGAAAGAAGGAAAAAAGGTAATAGATTTGACCAAAAAAAAGGACAACACAATTAAAAAATCATCCAAAGGGAAAATCGAAGAAAATTTTTCTTATTTCTCAGGACCTGATCTCTCGGATGATAACACAAAAAAGGCATTAAAAAAATCAAGAAAATCCGAGGTCTCTGTACAAATTGAACATGTGGAAATGAAAAACGCAAAAAAAACCAAGACACATTCTAAACCCGTGACTTCCAAACAAACTGTATCAAATAATTCTCAATCGACCTCATCTAAAGTCAATTCTCACTCGAATCGTCATCCTCATTCTGATGACAGTATATCAACATCTAATTCTCACAATTACTACCAAGAACATAGAATTAAAATAAGCGGGGATCGTACATATGAGCCAATTATCTCTTTTGATCAACTTGATGTTGATGAAGATACAAGAAATTATTTATCAAATTTCAAGAAGCCAACACCCATCCAAGCGAGTTGTTGGCCTATTTGTCTCAGTGGAAGAGATGTAATTGGAATAGCTGAAACTGGGTATAGATTTTTTTTTTGTATCTGTAACTATAAGTATATATGATATGATTTTTTATTTTAATCATTGAATCAATCCTTTTTTTTTAGGTCGGGGAAAACATTGGCATTTACCGTACCAGCCATCAAACATGTCAAAAAACATTCTTTCAAGAAAACTTCGCCAAATCCGCTAATTCTCATACTTGCGCCAACCCGTGAATTAGCCATGCAAATTCAGGAGCAAATTGAAGAGATTGATTCGGTGTCTTGTGGTAAAAGTTTATGTGTGTATGGCGGTGTTCCTAAAGAAACGCAAAGAAAGGAGCTTCGTAAGGGAACGAAGGTTATAGTTGCTACCCCTGGTAGACTTATTGATTTTATTGATGAAGGAAGTTGTGACATTGGCAATGTCTCGTATCTTGTGCTCGATGAAGGTAGGCACACTCGAATTATATCTATCATGTTACGATAGGTTCAAAGTCCAAAGAAAATAATGTTTCTTTTTTTGTTTAGCCGATCGTATGCTTGATATTGGATTTGAAAAAGATATCAGAACCATAATCTCCAAAACCAATTCAAAACGACAAACTTTAATGTTTTCCGCTACTTGGCCAGATTCTGTAAGAAAACTCGCTGAAGACTTTTTGAAAGATCCCGTTAAAGTTAACATTGGATCATCTGAACTAGCCGCCAATAATAACGTCACTCAAATAATCGAGGTTTTATCAAGCTCGGACGAAAAAGAAAAACGTTTAGTTCAACTTTTGAAAGAATATCATGGCAACAGGACCAATCGCGTTTTAGTCTTTGTGCTTTACAAGAAAGAAGCAACACGAATTGAGAATTTCCTCACATATAGTGGTTTTGAGGTCCAGTCCATTCATGGGGATAAAGGACAATTTCAGCGTACAGAAGCTCTCCATGCCTTTAAAGATGGAACATATCCATTACTGGTCGCTACGGATGTTGCAGCAAGAGGACTTGACATTTCGGACGTTGAGTATGTGATAAACTATACTTTCCCCTTGACCATAGAAGACTACGTTCATCGAATTGGAAGAACAGGCCGTGCTGGTGCCAAAGTAAGTTTATTACGCAAATCAAAATGCTATATTATTTATTTGTGGCCAAAATTTACGTTTTTTCACTATCAATTTCAATAGGGAATTTCTCATACTTTCTTCACAGCCCACGATAAAAGCCATTCAGGTGAATTGATAAATATATTGAATAAAGCAAAGCAGAAGGTTCCGGAAGCACTACTTAATTTTGGCGGAACTGTAAAGAAGAAGGAGCACAAAGCGTACGGTGCCTTCTATAAGGACATTGATCCTTTGGCAAAGCCGAAAAAAATTATTTTCGATGATTAATTAAAGTAAATATCCTTGAATCGTGAAAATTTTCACTTAATTCTCAAAATTTCTTTATTCTGGATCAATTATTCATTTTATTTGTATTATTTAATGTTTTTCTCAAAATAAATAATAAATACTTTGACAGTCAAAGTATCTTTCTATAATAATGATCACATTTCACTTTGTTCAAAAAATTGACGTAAAAATTCTGCTTCTTTGGCCATTTCCTCGGGTGAACGAGGTTTCCTTTCCTCATTATCAATTTTGAATAAAGTCGAATTTTCATTTGCTTGGTAGATTTTGCCGAGTTTCAATTTGTCAATTTCCTTGTATATATCATCATTATTTGCCCAATCACCAACTTTTCGTGGTATAATGTGGACATGACAATGTGGCACCTAAAGAATAAATTGATCGATCAGGCGAATTTACATGAATAGTTGAATAGTTGAATCAATCTTTATATCAATGTTGAATTACCGTTTGTCCTGCTGCTGGGCCATCCTTTTTTTTTTAAGAATTGAATGAGTTAATCTACAACAAAGACAAACATTAACAAAAAGGATTACGTATATAACATACTTGTATTGCCACTGTCAGCGAAGATCCGTTGTATTCTCTCTCAATTACTCTCCCGATTTTTTGAGCACTTTGAAACATATCACATGCCTGTAATAATTAATACATGATTAAAATGATTGACATCTGCGACTAAGTAAGCATAGGTTGAATAAAAATTCTTTACCTCTTCTGGAGTCAAGTCTGCATAGCGAGGAACGACTCGTCGCGAAATCACTAAAACATCTTTGAAATCAAAACTAGTTAAAATAAGAATGATGTAATTCTCAGATACTAGACCTAATACTTACGTCCACTTATGATAATGATAATAGAAATTAGAATAAACGATTATATATTTAATATTCATGATCACAAATAATAAATGCTTACGGCACTAACGGTTTCAAATTAACCAAACCTATACACAATTTACTTTTAAAAAACACTTCGCTGGCTCTTATCATGTGTGGCCCGAAAAGAAAAGTTGCCATTACTCGAATTGAAATTAGAAATGTATAACCTAAAACATGGTTTTACGGTATCACTATTAATTTCGAAAAGTTAGCATTAAGCTATTATATTGTTACCGTTTTGGGGGGAACACTAAAGCAAGGTAGTGGATTAAGATCGATCCAGATTAAGTCAATACAGATTAAAAAAATAAATTGGATT